TCTTACACGTTAGCCTGGCAGTGCCATGGAGCACAAGACCTCAGCCTAGGTCAGTGTTACACTAGGCAGGTCAACGTCACCTGGCTGACACCAGCAGGGAAACAATCATACCCCCCCTCTCCCCCACACCCCAATATTCCCGCTGCTGCAAGCAGGTGAACCAGACAGCACAGCTTTGACCAGGTCACTGACTGGGAATGTGGAAGCAAAGCTCCAGTTCGGGGAGTTATTGGAGCCAGAGCAGTTTGTCCAGGAGGTGGGTGCCCCGGACAAAGAAAACATTTCAATTCCGCCGCCTCCTCTCTCTGGGCCAGGAGGAAACGGGGCATTTCGTTTTGCTTTGTGCAGATCACGCCCCAGGAAAGCCGCTTCCACCTCTCACTCCGGCAGGAGCGTGGCTGATTCGGTCACTCTCTCCGATTACGGGCAGGCCCCCACCACACCCCCATTGGGCGGCAGTAGCAGCCGCACGACGCTTGGCAAGAGCGGGATTGTTCCTGTCAGTACAGCTGAGAGCGCAGCATGAGTCATTCCTGGCTTGGCGTAGGCAGGGCTGGGGGAGGGCACCGTGCAGGTTCGGAGCCAGCCAATCCTGCCGGGTGAGCGGCCTTGAATACCTGCAGGCTGCATCCCCAGCGTTGGGATCAGGGAGAGAGACCGGCTGGGTCCTTTAGTGCTGGAGTGGAACAGCCGAGCCCCCGAGCTCAGGGCTGCCCATTGCCCGCGTAGGGCCCAGTTGGCAGAACGTCCCCTGGGTTCAATAAAATACAGACATGCTTATGGAGAAAAATAAAAATCTTTCCGGAAGCTGCTGTTTACCCTCGGAGCGCGTCACTCGGGGTCTGAAACGCTGCCATTAAATGGCACAAAGTGGCCCCCAAACACAAGGCTAGTTACATTTGGGAGCTGGCTAATGAGATGCTAGGACACTGAGTCACTAGTAACGCCCCCCCCCCCTCCCCTCTTGTGGGGGTGGTGGCAGTTTTCAGCTATACAGCCATGGGTTTGTGCTGCTGTTATTGGAAGGGGGGTCCCGCCCGGGGCAGGCTTTCCAGGAGTGACCTGCCGTTTTGTACCCTCAGCTCCCGCTAGAGCA